CACTCCATTCCCGCCGACAAGAAGAAGACGCTGACACAAGCCTTCAAGAGATGGTGGAGGTATATGAGCCACCAGACGACAGAACGAGGAAATTTCAGCACCGTAAACGGGGGAGCTCAGAGTCGCCCCTCGCCTACAGAAGCGCCTTGATGCCCTTGGCAGTTGATGCATACCCCAATGTAACACAGGAACTGTTAGACCCACTGGTGATAAAACGCATGTTGGCGTTGGCTAGGGAAATGGATGTTGTCCTTCCTACGTGCGGCCACGAAATGAAGACGTCCTTGTGGGCCGTGCGTTGCCTCAACGCACCTGAAAATTTGAAGCGCTGGGCACAGATGGCGGCATGGACGGGGGACCCAGCTAAGAATGGTCAGCCCATCGGCTAGTCTCCATCTAAAGTGGTCGTCATTCCCGAGGAGGCACCGTCGACGGGCGACGTTTGCAGCGGACTGTCCCTCGCTGGAATCGGCGCCCTAGAGATGGTCGACATTGCCCAGAACATCTACCGGCCGCGTCAGAACGACAATCTGCTCCAACAGCAGCCTCCCGTCACGTGCTACAGATGTGGCCGGGTGGGCCATTACTCACGGGAGTGCCACAATTGTCCTGCCGCATTCGTCCTGTGTCGCCGTCCGGATCGCCGACCACGTCTCCTGCAGCCAACCGTCCGCCGTCACGTCCCTCCATACAGGCGAGTTGGCACACGTCGGGCACCCAGGCATGTTCGCCATCTCAGTCATCCCATGCCGCCGGGACGGGTGCATCACATCGGGACGATTCGTTAAGTTGGCTGGTTTCACAGACACAGTGGAAGAAATTGGCTCGACGTGTGGTTGCCGCGGCAGTTGGATCGTCGACCGTGGCAGCCACTGTCCAGGGGGTCGATATCCGTGTTTTGGTTGATACGGGGGCGTCTGCCACTATCATTTCAGATGTCATTTTCCAGCTGTTGTTGATCCCTGCTTTTTGTGTTCGGCCGGTGTACGATGTGTGTGTTGCTGCTAAAGGGGGTAGTATGGGCATCATTGGACAGGTTGACGCGTGTATCGCCATTGGGGATGTTCGTGCGACGAGGCCCGTGCTGATTTCGCGTACGTTAGCCGTGCCATGCTTGCTAGGCACAGACTTTTTGTCGAGAATGCTGCTTAAGATTCTTGTTGATCAGGGATGTCTGGAATTGCCATCGGGCCGTAAATTGCGCTTTTTGTCATCGCCGCTTCCACGGCCGACCTCCTCAGTTATGGTTCAGGCTTTGGTTAATGCCACCGTAACTGTTTCGTCAGGCTCCCAAATGTTGATTCCGCTCTGATATCACAAAAAAATCGCTTGCAACGTCGCGGTGAATGGGATTCTTTTGATGCCTTCAAATACCGCTACACGAGGGTTGACGTTGGTTTGTGCTCAAACCATTTTCAGAACGGGTCAGGCCCCATTTTTGCAAGTTTTGAATGGGGGCCTGGGAGATGTTATTGTGCACGCCGGTATGGTTCTCGCTCACGCGACCACCGCATTTACTTACCGAGCTGAACACACGCCTGCGCAGGCTGTCTGCACTATCAGAAATGAATGTCCGGCGGATGATCGATGGATCGCCGGATTGTGCGGCAAATATGCTTCCCTGTCTCCGGTTCAGCGTCAAGGGTTGCGTATGTTGTTGGCCGAGTTTTCCGATGTGTTCAGCAAGGACGACTTCGACTTGGGTCGGACGTCCTTGCTGTCCCATCACATTGAGATGAGCGATGCTAGCCCCATTCGGTTGAACACGCATCGTATGGGGCCATCAGAAAAAGAGAGTATGCGGCACACCGTTGATGACATGTTGGCCGCTGATATAATTTCCCCATTCACGAGCCCATGGGGCGCCCCGGTAGTATTGGTTAAGAAGAAGGATGGCAACCTATGGTTCTGCGTTGATTTTTGTTGCCTTAATAAGGTCTCCGTGGCAGACGCGTATCCTTTGCCGCGGATGGATGAATCCTTGGAGGTGTTGTCCGGGGCGCGGTTTTTCTCTACCCTGGATCTCTCTTCTGGCTTTTGGCAGCTGCCCCTTGATGAGTCTTCGAGGCAGAAGACCGCGTTCTGTACCCCGCAGGGTCTTTTTGAGTTTAACTGTTTGCCTATGGGATTGAATGCCACTCCTGCCACGTTCCAGAGACTCATGGAACTTGTCCTGGCCGGCCTTCAATGGGACACTTGTCTCATTTATCTGGACGACGTCATCGTCTTCAGTCGGACATTTGATGACTACCTCCTCCGACTTCGCGCTGTCTTTGAGCGCATGCATTCTGATAATCTCAAATTTAAACCAAAAAAATATCGATTTAAAGCTTTCGTGACTGCAGGGATTAATCTTCTTGGTTCTTTCTGTAAAGTCACGTAGAAGGGAAATAATCAAATAATAAAAATAAAACATAATAAAATACAATTCTCACGACGTTTTGGCCACAACACAAGTAGCCTTCCTCAGGTGAAAAAACAGAACTGTCGGAAAGACAGCGCTCCAATGAACACTGCTAAGCTTGGCAGCGTATTTTAAGCTCGGTGGAAGGAGCAGAGCGCCTTGACAAAGGAGTTTACCATATAAATAAGGCCGAAAAAGTTTAACAAAATGAATGACCGCGAGCAGCTCACGACGAGAGATACAATAACGGGTCTCTGCCGGCGAAAACACCCGACTACCATATGCAACAACACGCTCGACGCTCCCCTTCACCTGCGACAGGACAGCCCCGATAGCTGTATCACTGGTGTCAGTGTCGAGGATAAAGGGGGACGAGAAGTCAAGGTAATCAAGAGTAGGTTCTTCGGACAGGCAATTACGCAAGGCATTGAATGCAGCCTCCTCTGCCGGACCCCAATGGAACCTCTGATTTTTGCCCGTAAGGGCATGCAACACACTAGCAATAGACGCAAATCCAGGAATGAACCGCCGATAATAGGAGGTGAAGCCAAAGAAGCTCCGAACATCCCCTACACTCGCAGGAACCGGCCAATCGCAGACACATTCCGTTTTGTCAGAATCGGTCGAAATCCCGTCGGCGCTCACAACATGACCCAAAGAAGTCTGCAAATGATGATATTTTTTTGTCTTATTGGTTCTTTTGGTAAAGTCACGTAGAAGGGAAATAATAAAATAACAAAAATAAAACATAATAAAATACAATTCTCACGACGTTTCGGCCACAACACAAGTAGCCTTCCTCAGGTGAAGAAACGGAACTGTCGGAAAGACAGCGGTCCAATGAACACTGCTAAGCTTGGCAGCGTATTTTAAGCTGGGTGGGAGGAGCAGAGCGCCTTGACAAAGGAGTTTACATATCAACAGAAGAATTTAGCATTGCAGTAGCTGTGTTAATGTGAGAGATTAGCAGGATGTTAAAGTCAGAAATTAGCATGTAACTAGGAGATTAGAATGATGTTAGTGTGAGGAATTAGCATGTAACTGGTAACGGAAGTAGCTATGTTAAAGTCAGAGTTTACATATCAACAGAGGCATTAGTATATTGACGCTAAAGAACTGCAACTACCCAACTATCATACAATAAACCGATGTGAAAGAACTAAATATAAACTACAACAATATAATCAATGTACTCAATAAGCTGCGCTATCAACACCATCAAACATGGAGGTGGAAACATTATGCTTTGGGGGTGTTTTTCTGCTAAGGGGTCAGGACAACTTCACTGCATCAAAGGGACGATGGACGGGGTCATGTACCGTCAAATCTTGGGTGAGAACCTCCTTCCCTCAGCCAGGGGCATTGCAAATTGGTCATGGATGGGTATCCAGCATGACAATGACCCAAAACACACGGTCAAGGCAACAAAGGAGTGGCTCAAGAAGAAGCACATTAAAGTCCTGGAGTGGCCTAGCCAGTCTCCAGACCAAATATATATTCCCACAAGTTTCTCAACAAAGGTCGTTTTTGTAAATATACAGGGTGTCCATTAAATAATTACAATTAGAGACCAGTTTGAACTGCACGGTCGAAATTCTGGCAACACATATTTTTTTAAGTTGAAAATCTTGAGCGATCTTGAGTAGCGCAGAACAGAGGCATTCAAAACACTCAGAGCAGAGACGCCGGGCAACGGCTGGGCCTGGGCATCTCTAAAAACATTGATGCAATGTGTGTCGTCCACGTCACGGCGAACACGCGGAGGTTTTAGAGAGATGACGCTTGTGCCATAAAATCTTCAACTTCTCAATTGTGTGCGCGTGTGTAGGTTTATCAACCAAGGCTCGAACTTCTACTTATTAATAATTGATAATGTCTGACACCTACGTAGGCCCTCTCAATATCGTATTTAGCACAATACATTGCCAAGTCCCCTTGCATTTCAGGAAATGGGGTAGATTGCATAAACGGTGGTGGCTTGGGCAGATGATGCTACAGTGTCAATGCATCATCTGTCGGTCATGCTTACATCATTTGTATGAAGAGTTCTGTCACAGCGTTTCTTCAGGCATACTTAGTTTGGACTACTCAATTTTCAACAGTTGCAAATAACCCAAAGCCAAACAAATGTCACTTCAGTCAGTTGATTAGTTATATTAAATGTAACTAATTAACAAATTTTAATTGGGATAACTACAGTACTTTGTTCATACAACGACCTATACAATTAAACAAATTATACATTCATGACACGTTTGTTATTTGTGCAGTTAATAAACATGTAATCTTATTCTTTGGGTCTTTCGGAAAAGTCACGTAGATAGGTTCAAATTAATAAAAAATAAAATAAACAAAAAAGCTTTGTTTTCCTCCTGATGACGATCGCTTGTGTTGTGATCGAAACGTCGCAGTTTTTTTGTTGATTTTATTATTATTAATTTGAACCTATCTACATGACTTTACCGAAAGACCCAAAGAATATGAATTCCCATAGTCACGAAAGCTTTAAGTCAAGATTTAACATTGAATCTCATTTGCAATTTCATAATTTGAATAAAAAGTTAATGTTAATAAAAAAAATATTCGAAAAACTTACCAACACATGCAGAGCCCTGCTGGTCTGGCTCAAAGCCACCTTGACACGACAAGTCAGGCTTGCAGCTGAAGCTGCCAAAAGTGTTGGCACAAAGGGGCCTGGTGCTGGGGCATGGCTGCTGGGCGCTGCTGCACTCGTCCACATCTGTCAAAACACAAACACGCACGTGCGCAAGTGTACACACAGCGCTCCCACAGCATCACCGCTTTTATATTGAAATATGGTCTCCGGGGCACAATATACAAAGGTTATAAGCCGATGTTCTGCTGGGATGGTACCCCTTTGCGAGTTCATTGGTTAAATAACTCGTTCCAGGTTTAAAAAAAATGCTTTAGGTGGTTAAACAAATGTACCACAATGAAAACAATGTTTGAGAATCTGGGTCAAATTGCTATCTTTGTATTGGTTAGTTTTGTATCATCAGTCGGGGGCTGGTTTCTGCCTGAAATATTTGCATGCAGATGTTTGGAGCGTATGGGCAATGGGGGAATCATGACAATGCCTTTACGGGGCATTCAAAACCTCCCGTTTTAACGAAATAACGTCAAGACTTAAGAGTGTATCTGTTGTTTTATATCAGAAGTTCTGCTTATTGGTATACTTGGTGATAAAAAGGGCTTGTCGTGTGCTTGTCAGCCCCCTACTAAGCCAAGCTGGCTTCACGCTGTCCTCCAGGAAGCCTACAGGCAGCAGGACTTTTCGGCTGTGGGAAATCAAGGCCCTGGTGTTTGCTGTCCACTAGTTTCTGATCCCCCCTTGGCAGCCTCGTCTTAAACTGGGGGTAAGCAATGAAGGCAACAGAGCCACATATCAAGAATAATGGGCACTCAATACCTAACGACAACAAGAATATATTACAAGAGGTGTATAAAACGGTTTACAATCATACAGAAATGTAAACATATAGAATTTTAAGATGCTTGTCCAAGCAGACACATATATGCACTGATTGTAACACCAATCGATGTATCTACCTCCTCAGTGTGCCAGGAAAAAGTACCGGCAATAATTATTTAACCTTGCCTTACCATGCACGACGAGGAGATGCTTGCAGAGACCCAATATGGTTTCAGGCCATGCTGTCCTGCATGGATGCCATATTCTATATATGTATTCCAAAGCCACCTCATATCTCTGCTTTATTGACTTGTTAAATACCTACAATACCATCAAGAGGCCAGGGCTTTTGAGTTGTTATTCATTCTTGCAGGGTCCATGACCTCATGCTCATGATCATTAAAGTCCTTCATGATGGTGGTTAATTATACGTAAAGGCATGGTGATCAGAGAGTAACAGCCATTAATTCCCTGTACACCTTGTGTTGCAACAAGGATGTCCTTGTGCCATCTTCCATATGAAAATTTTAGACCACGTAGTTACAAAAGACTTTCAGAATTGGACCAGTGGAATTTCTATCTGGTACAGATACACATGGAAGCTTGATCAATGCCCAGGTGCTGTCAAGGAATGGATCCATACTTCTTAACCATGTTGATTACTGCTGGGTCCGAGGAATCATAAATGTTGAGAGCTGAACCAAGAGATTGCCATTAAAAGGTGGGGCCTTACCATTAGCCCCACCAAAACAAACGTCTTCCTCAGTACTTTGTGCAATCAAACATTGTCCTTCCCTTTCCATAAGCGACTGTGTGGCTGTGGAGAGAGTGGGGCAGTGCCTGTACTCCGATAGTATGCTCACAACGGGTTTGGTTTTGTATCAGATTTTTCATTGGCATCAGAGGTCCCCTCTGACTATTTCCACCTCACCCACACTTTTTGACCTCTGTACGCTTTGAAGAAGGGCCATTGCTTGAAACATCACCTGTTATAATACCTTCTCTTTTGAAGGCCACATCATTATTGACGGATTTGAGTGTTTTGGTTATTTGTGATTGTGTAATGCTCCTAATGCAGCATCACCAATTAATGTATCGATGGTTGGGAAAAGTGTGGAGGAGTTCGCATACCTAGAGTGTGTTTATGGCCAGTTCTGGTAGTGTCAGAGGTATCAATCTAGCATGAAGCAAATAGCGTTATCTTTGTGCTGGCTATATAATGTGGTATGGTAGCTGGACTGTTGTTGCAAATAAAGATCGTGACCTTCGACATATGCCCTCTCTATTTTGTGCAAGCAACATGGTCCTGCTTCAAATATTAAGGCTTGCCTGCCTTTCATCCATCATGGGCATAACCGGGCTGGATTATATAAGTGCACAGGCACTTGAAGTATCAGGATATCATCCCTTTCTTGATTTTATCCAGCAGCTGAGGTCGCGTTGGCTGATCATGTGGTGTGCATGCCAGATAGAGGCAGATACACGGATGTGGCGTGGTCTACAGAAAACGTGGGGAGATGTGGGAATTAGCTTTTGGCAGTTGTGGAGGCAGCAACCCTCCAGAAACGATTTCATGGGGAATGTATCGTGGTGGTAGTGATGATGATGGTGGCTGGAAATGGTATCTACATATTGTAGGTATTTCTGATGTACAATGTCAATCAAAAAACAATAACAGCTTAATTATACATAACTCAGTTTTTACTTTCACCAAAAAGAATAATCTTGATTTGAAGCGTTCGTGACTCCAGGAATCCATACTCTTTGGTTCTTTCGGTAAAGTCACGTAGGTAGAAAAATAATAATAGACCACGACGTTTCGATCACCACACAAGCAACCGTCTTCAGGTGGTAGTGAGAAACAGGCTTCTGAAACAAGTCCTTATATATAGAGCCCGGAGGGTGGGAGGGGGTTGCCGCATAGGGCAAGAGAGTGGGGGCTGGGGTCCTGCGGAGGTGGCCATTGTATTGTGAGAGATTAGCATGTCAATATGTATAGACGGTATATCAGCCACTAGGGGGAAATAGCGCTGAACAGGGTGAAGGAAAGGCAGCGCTGAACAGGGTGAAGGAAAGGTAGTGCTGAACAGGGTGAAGGAAAGGCAGCGCTGAACAGGGTGAAGAAAAGGCGCGGAGATGATTGCCTTTCCTTCAACCTGTTCAGCGCTCCCCCTAGTGGCTGATATACCGTAAATACACATTGACATGCTAATCTCTCACAATACAATGGCCACCTCCGCAGGACAAGCTCCAGCCCCCACTCTCGTGCCCTATGCGACAACTCCCCCCCACCCCCCCCTACCGGCTCTATATATAAGGACTTGTTTCAGCAGCCTGTTTCTCACTCCTACCTGAAGACGGTTGCTTGTGTGGCGATCGAAACGTTGCGATCTATTATTATTTTTCTACCTACGTGACTTTACCGAAAGAACCAAAGAGTACCAAGAAGAATGTTTTACGTTTTTGGTCCAACGGCAGTCAGAAAATATTGATATTTAGAATGGGTATTTACATTTGATTGGCAAATATCGATGTGGTTGGTTTGATGCTGTTGATATAGCATCAAGCAGCAAGAGGGAGGTTGGTGTTGTTATGTTGGGTGGCTATGAGAGTCTTGCAATAAGTCTTTAGAATTTTAAGAATTCTAAAGTCATATCAAAACCAATAATATGCAGACAGTTTCACGGGAGTGTAATGAGTTTTCTCTGTGTGTGGAATTCCAAAATACATTGCAGGTTAGCGACGTGACACTTTAATTAAACCTATTGAGTACGGCTGTAAATGTGAATAGAGACTTTGAAATCACATGTGTGGGCCAGTACAGTATGTATATTTCCTGAATTCACACACTAGGAAATATTTTGTTTCAACTCGATGCCAAGGAAATGTGTATATAATGTTTTTATCATGTTACATGCTTAAAAACACATGCATTGGTAATTCAACGATTCATTCATCAACCAATATCCCCCCCCCCCCCACATTCTAGCATGTCTGTAATTTACACGTATGTATGTTGAACTTCTTTCGCACCGTACGTAGCCAACCATGCTTATCGGAGGAGCGGGAGAACGACAACAAACTAAACACAAAAATAAGTTAAATTTCGATTTAAAGCTTTGGTGACTGCAAGGATTCATCTTCTTGGTTATTTCAGTAAAGTCACGTAGAATGAGAATAAAATAATAAAATAAAATAAGACAATAAAATTCTCACGACGTTTCGGCCACAACACAAATAGCCTTCTTCAGGTGAAGGAACAAAACTGTCGGGACGACAGAGCTTCAATGAACGCTGCTAAGATTCGTAGCGTCTTTAAAGCTGGTTAAGAGAAGTGAGGCACCTTGACAAAGAGGTTTACATATCAAACAGGATAATTTAGCATTGAAATAGCTGAGGGATTAGCTTGTGACTGGTCACAGAAATAGCTTTGTTAAAGTCAAAGCCTACACATCCACAGAGGCACCTAGTCCAAATCAAACAGGATAATTTAGCATTGAAATAGCTGAGGGATTAGCTTGTGACTGGTCACAGAAATAGCAATGTTAAAGTCAAAGCCTACACATCCACAGAGGCACCTCGTACATGGACGCCAAAGGGGCTGCAACAACTCAACTATCATACAGTAAACCGATGTGAAAAACCTAAGTCTAAAAAATTACATCAATATAATAAATGTACTCAATATACTCTTCAATAAGCTGAGTTATTAACAGCAACTGGGTATACACTACACTATATAATGAATACCATATAGTAAACAGAAAAAATTCGAAAATATAAACTACCTCAATGTTATCAATACTTTATATATTCTCCAATCAGCTGAGCTACCAAGAATAAGTCGTTATATATCACAATGCTATATGGTGAAAAAATGGGTGAATTCTTACCGTCAACGTCAGCACCACGGACAGCTACGAGCCCCGTTCAGATGGACGGGTCCATCCATGGTCGGAACGGGGAGGGAGGAGAGAAACAGCTGCGAGGCGCTGTTATACTCCATGTTATAAACCATACCATTAACCGTGGTGTGAGAGGTATTAAGAGTCAATGCCAGCGAAAGAGCTGCGGTCTGAAGGTCACCGTAAAATACAATCAATTAAGACCCGAAACGGTGTATCAAATCCTTCCAATGATTGCTAAGCCAGAATCCATCTTCTCGGTTGAAATTGTCTCTGTGCTTGTATATGTGGATGGCCTCATGAACGAATCTCTCATGGTAGCCGGTTGGCTTGCAAAGAACCTCCATCTTGGAGAAGTCAATGTTATGTGAGCCCACTGAATTATAACAGTGATCTGCCACG